AAGAACAGGCACATCCATTCGGGCATGAATTCTATTTGGGGGCCCAAACTAGACATCAGGAATTCATGTCCACCACCTTCGATGCGGGCTCCAACTCCGAAAAATCTCACACCCATTTCCCCCGGCAAAAAGCCGAAGAGGTCCTCATCGCACTTGACCAGGTCGTCAAGCGCCTGAGGTGGGTGAGACCTTATAGGAGAAACTGACCAAAAAAATCATCGGCCTGCCAATTGTCAAAAATGCCTGTAAGCAGGTTTACAGGAAACCGGTGAATTTTTAGGAAATGGACCACCATCAGGTTTGTCTCTACGGGCCTAAATCGTTGGAGGTATGACACTTCAACACTTCTCAAAAACAAAATGTAGTTGCGATGATGGCAAAAACCATTGATGAGTTTAGCCCCCTTTCTGCCGACCCCGGAAGGGTGGAACATGTAGCACACACACACACGGAAATCAGCGACTCCAAGGAAATTGGAGCCAGAATGTGGATTTGTTGTCCAGTTGATTAAGGAATCCAACAAGGGTGTCGAGGCCTGCTTGCTTAGCACTACTCGCAAGCGGCACTGCCCCTTCGTAAGAGCCATAGTCGACAATCATTGTGCCCCGAACTATGGCTTTTGGCGAGTAACCCCAATGTTCGCGTGGGATCTTGGTACAGTAAGTGTTTCCCTTGCCATCCCCCTTACTATATAGTAGATCATGCTGACTTTTGAGCGTTGCTTCAAGCTTGGTCTATAACAAAGGAGGCTACCCACACAAAAAAGGCGAAGAATTGAAAGGGCGGATTGTCACACCTGTTACCCCACTACCCTCGCTTCGCCCGGTTTTGGTTGCGGCCCGCATATAGCGCGGCCTTTTCAATAGGGTCGGGTCACGCATCGGCTAGTCCACCCGCGACAATCAGACGGAGGAAGGCCAGCGAGACACGTGCTGCGCTTGTCGCGTCTTAGGATGCGGAAGGAGGGTCCAGGATTGGGTTGTACTGAAGAGAACACTTGCTGTGCTGTGCTAAGCTCTGAATCACTGAAAGCAGGGGAAAACAGGAAAGTGTCAACCGGACTTCCTCAAATACAAGAGCAAGAAAACAGACAAGCAAACAAACAACCAACCAACCGTCAAGCAAACAAACAAACAAACAAACAAGCAAACAAACAAACAAACAAGCAAACAAACAAAGCTCCAAAAGCGAACCCTATGAGCTTTCTCCTATCACATCGCCTCGGCTGCGTGGGTCCTGCTTCCGAAATGCGCTCGGATAGGCAGCACGGCCCATCTTCGTGACCGATCCAATCAACGGAGTTATGATTCGTGTGGAGCCTGAAAAATCCCTCATCTGCGGGAATCTCTTTTGGGGGGACCCCTTTTTGCGGGTTTCATGCAACAGCGCAAGGGAGTCATCCTAAAGTGGCGCACATGCAGTACAATGTCGGCGTGCGGCATGTTCGAAAGGAAATACAGAGGGAGCGCGAAGCAATGCAAAGCGAAAGACGTCACAGCCGTTTCTTGGCCCCTCGCCATATCCAGCTTCTGCTCCGTGTTCGGCCGCCCCATCGCTCCTGCACAGCCGCCCCCGCAAATTGTCAGATTCCTCTCGGTCTCCCTGTGAAACCACTTGAAACCGTCAATCGGGAGTGTTGGCTCGATTTGATTTGGATGGTGAAAGAGTTTGGTTTCGCTTGAGCTGGTTCGCTTCTTTCGGTCGGGCTTTGGCTTGGGCTACGCAGGCCATTTGCCTTGGCAAGTCCACCGGGCTGCTTGGGGCAGCTGGGTCGCTTGGCTACCGACCCTTCAGAGCTCCTTTGATGGGTTCCCCCAAGAACAGTTAAATCTTGCTTGGTCCCCAGCCCTGAAAAGGTGACATAAACTGTCACCTTCCGGGATCCAAAAAAGCCTCACGACCAAAAACCTGTGTGGTCGAATTTCAGTGGAGGATGGTGCGTCGCAAAATGAGACTGTACCTTCCAAAACGGGGCTGGTTCCTCCTTTGGATTCCTATTTCCAAAAGGGGTACCCTCGAAAAAGAAACACCCATATGAGCCAAACCTGGGTAGATGCACAAAGGTTAGAAAGGAACAGTCAGAACAGTCCCAAATGTAAAGCGATGTGTCAAGAAGCCCTTTCAGTTCTTTTGTTGGCTTTGAGTAGACCCCTTTGTCTCAGGTTTTAGTTGTGAGGATCCAACCCGTTTTGGATGGCTTTTAAAGGGCCGTTGGTTTTCTGTAGACTCTGTTGTACCATTTATTCATGACTCAGTTACTCAGTTAGCAACTTTGTAATGCAGGGTATGGCTGCAATCCCGGAAGCTTCCTCACAGGACATCGAATCAGCCGCGCCCAGAACCGTTCCTGTTCACAATGTTCGCCTACGCCTAGAACAATGTTTATCCCTAAAAAAACACCTGGGTTGCGAGGGTGGGCCTCCACTGACCTTTTTTGGGGGCGGGGTCAAATGGCGAGAAGAGAATGTTGCAGGAAATGTGATTGACACCTTCGCTGCATTGAATTGAACCCCTTGTTCCTGTTTGTGCTCTGCGAGGGTCCCTCGATTGCTTTGGCGACCATGTGTTCAGCCGATGCTGCGCTGCTTTTCCTAGGGCTGTTTCTTTTTACTAGGGGTGGCAACCTGTGGGGGAGGGGGTTGATTCCCCAGCATCAATTTGGTGGCAATTGAGAGCTGCTCAAGTTGTCTTAGAGATGCTAATGAGGGTGGGTCTTGGGCTGTTTGGGGTTAGTTAGGTGTTTCAGCGGAGTTGGTAAATAGAGGACCCCCCCCGCCGCAAAGAGTAAAAAATACTTCCACATGTTTCTGCTCTTCTAGCGCATCACTCTGATTTCTGCGGGGCAAAGGGCTCCAGGCTGCCATTCGGTGCGGTCTTCCCTTGACTTTGGCATGGAGCACGCACAAAAATTCGGGACTCCCAGAGCCAATTGCAGACTCGGCCCTTCAGAACGCCGATGTGGACTTAAGGCTTCTTTCAACGAGTGACCGAGTTGTTGGCTAAGTTCGGGGGTCTCGGACCAGGCACCGACTTCCGCGCCTGCACGATGAACCCCCGCGGAGAGGGCGGAATCCGGAAAGGCCGCGGTTTCGCCGGAACCGAGTGACGGGCTTCAAGTATGGTGCCGTGTCCAAACACTCCAAGATGTCAAATTGATCTCATGGATGCACTAGACATATAATGATGGTACATGCATATAGATATGTCATGTGTATATATGTTGTGTACAAATACATTATACACATCTTAATGCACAAATGCACGTGGCACAAGTATGGCTGTGTGTGTTCCATGCTCTTGAGAAGCTTCCTTTCACCGCCCAACCAGCGGGTCGTCTTGGGCTGGGGCCGCTGTGGCCGCTGTCTATGGCACTTGGCCGGATGGGACTGTTCCTGGGAGCCGACCCATCGGCGCACAGGCGAGTCCTTTGAGCTCGCGAAGCCATCAAGATGAAGAGGATTCGCTTTTGGCCAGGTCTGGCATCTGAACAGCTCGGAGAAAAGAATCGGGTGCCAAACGGGCTGGCCCAAAATGTGTTGCACAGCGTCGGCTCACAAAACATGGCACCATTCTTGGCGTGGAAGTGTCCCGAAATACGCCAAGCTTCACACAATCAGAAACTATTTCTTGAAAAGGGAAATCCACAGGCTGGGCCAAACAAGGTTTGCGAATGCCTCCGCAGGGCATTTCGGCGACGCAATCGGCGGACAAAAACGGGAGGTGAAAGGCACCAACCAAAGGAACAAAAGCGCTTGAAGGCAACGTGATGCACTCCAAATGAGGGCATCGACGTCATACAACGTATATGGCTGGACATAAAATTGAGCCTTGCCAATGTCCATTCAAGCAGAAGCCGTGATCCACTGCTACTTGAAGCCAAAGATCATGTTCCAAAAATGACGGGCAGGTGCGGAAGTGCCCGGCGGTTTTTTGCCAAGTCAGGCAAAGTTGCAGGCAAACACATCACCAACTCCTGGCCGCATGGTTGGTTGGGCCTTCAAAAGGGTATACATGTGTCCAAATAAGAGGGAACCCAAAAATGATGGCGTGCTTCCTTTCCTCAAACCAATGCTTAAGAATCTATCCTCAAAAAACACACGCACAGAAACACAAATGGAGCAGCAATGGATCTATGTGTGTTTCAAGAAACCGTTAAGCTTCTGGATAGAAATGGCTTCAGCTGCCAAACACATGCCATGCTGCACTCCGTAACGATCATGCCCCCAGCGCGCGCGCGTGTTTCAAAGTCGCAGTCACAGGTCGGCGCCAATAGACTGCGGAACTTCCCCAATCTTCAGGGTGGGGTTTGATCGCCTCGCGCGGAGGGGTCTAAGCCCTGGCGGTTGCGACTGCCTTAAGCCGCTGAACCAGGTCATCCTGCTCAACCATTGAATCACTCGAAGGTAGCGCCATTTGGGCCTAAACTCGTACCGCCTGGACCCTAAATGGTCAGACCAACTGGGATCATAACACAAAGATGCCGGCAGCGGCGGTACGGTCCTGTTTGGCCACTCACTTCCTGTACCAGCAGGCTTCCAACTCCTCTTGGCGCACATCAAAGGACCTGGCAAGGCAAGAACCTAGAGGTGTTTCCCAACGCGTCCGACGCTCCCCCGCCCACTCCCAGGATACCCAACATGAACCGACATTGGGTGAAGGCAACTTGGGCGTCCCGACCATCAAGAGAGCAGTCAGCCCTCTCATTGAAATCCGTTAACCTGCAACAACTTGAGGCACGGTCCTGAGAAGATCCCTGGCTATGCTTGGAGCAACCACATGCTGGGACGAAGCAAACCCTGAACTCATGGCTGTGGTGCTGAATGAGGCCCGTGGCAATGACTCCCCGCAAAAGATATGCGTTGCGGCCTTTGGTCAGAAGGCGACCCACACACGACGAAAGTCCGCTTTTCAGACAGCCTTGCACTTTGCCCTTGCATGATCAACGCGCCCGCTGCTTTCTTCGTTTTTCGCCAGTGAGAATTGGCCACTCTGTCCAATTTCTATTGGAGGCTGTAGTAGGCGATACCCAGCACGATCAGAAGGCATACCGCGGTGAAAATGATGATGGGCGTGTCCCCACCTGATTTCGCCGGGGCCGGAGCCGGCCTGTTCGCAAGATACATTCGGCATTTTGTCCAGGGGAGCCCTTGCTGGATGGTGTTGAAGGAAACAAAGGAACCAACCACCAGAGCAAAACAAGGAAGCAGCCCTAGTACTAGTTTGAGAAACACCCATTTTGAAGGGGAAGGTTCATGACTCATGTAAAAACCAGACCCTTTTTATGGGACCAAGCCAGGGCCAGCAGGGCCGCCAGGGCCCCAAATAGGCATGTAATGCTCCAAGGCACTCTGAAAAAAAGACCAGGGTATCAGTCTGCTCTGACTTGGCAACACTGAACCGTGGTTTTCACCTCGCTGTCCTCGAACAGGAAAATATGCCAACGGGAAGATGCCCGCAATCTTGTCATGTTTCAAATGAAACTACCCCTGCGCAAAATGTTGGCCTCGAGAAGCCGTGGATCGTTCTCTGCGTCGGTTTAGTTCTGGGGAGGGAGGACTCGGGGCGCTCAAGAAAGGGCATTGGCATCTGGCGGTACGATTGAAGTTTGGCCGTCAATCATGTCGTTGTGTTGAGACTGTTTGTATATATGTATATAGATAGATAGATAGATAGATAGATAGATAGATAGATAGATAGATAGATAGATAGATAGATAGATAGATAGATAGATAGATAGATAGATAGATAGATAGATAGATAGATAGATAGATAGATAGATAGATAGATAGATAGATAGATAGATAGATAGATAGATAGATAGATAGATAGATAGATAGATAGATAGATAGATAGATAGATAGATAGATAGATAGATAGATAGATAGATAGATAGATAGATAGATAGATAGATAGATAGATAGATAGATAGATAGATAGATAGATAGATAGATAGATAGATAGATAGATAGATAGATAGATAGATAGATAGATAGATAGATAGATAGATAGATAGATAGATAGATAGATAGATAGATAGATAGATAGATAGATAGATAGATAGATAGATAGATAGATAGATAGATAGATAGATGTATGTATGTATGTATGTATGTATGTATGTATGTATGTATGTATGTATGTATGTATGTATGTATGTGTATATACATATATAATATATATATATGTGAGTTGGGGTAAAATGACTTGTCTCTGTGCGTGTGTATCCTAAAGTCTTAACTTTGCCTAGAGGAACCAACGATTTGGAGAGGTCCCCAATCTGTGGACAGGACACCGTTCACTTGCATACTTGTTGCATGTCCTCTTGCTTGCCTCACGAAGCGCATGTTCAAAGCAACCAAAATGGGAAAACATCCAAAACACCATATTGCCCCTTTAAACAATTACCTCGCAAAAAGAACTGCCCTTATCACCCTGATGTTTAAAGCAACCAACAGGGAAAAGTATCCAAAGCACCCTGGAACCGCTCTTCTCCCAAGGCGCCATCCAGGGTGGTGCCGATCTTGTCCCCCAACTTCCGGGCGAAGCGCCGGCGCGGGGCGGCGCACTGGGGGCACTTGAAGCCCTGCTGCAGGTCCTGCGGCGAGTCGCCGAATCCGAGGCGCGCGCGCGCGCGAAACAGCAGGAGCTGTTGAGCAATTCCTTTCGTCCAAGAAGGATCCGAAGTCGTGGCGATTGCGAGTCTTTGAGGTCAACTTTGAAAAAGGTCCCCGGCGGAGAGGCCTTGTTTCAAGGCGTTCTTTCGGATGTTTCAGGTGGTTGAAATTTCAGGAAACGCGCTCATGCCGGGCATTGCATACAAACTATGAGCATGCTGTGTGTGTGTGTGCTTGTCAGATTCGCTTCGCTTCACGAGCCCCTTCTAACTTCGTTGGGAAAATCCCTTCTCGCCTACCTTCCGTGGCTTTGATTGACATGCCATGCTCTTGCACTCCTGGACGACCAAAAGAGCTATGACCAGCTGCAGAAGCAAACAACACCCATCTTATTCTTCTTGCCATCGCTCCCCCCCCCTCAAGTCAGGCAAGTGTCGTAAAGCATCTCCATAGAGTCAGTGTCAATCACATCTGGTCCACAGAGTAAACATCGGCACAAAGGAAGCCTTGTCTGTGCGGCACTCTGTTCGACAGTGCGCGTTCTGCAGCTTCTACAAACTTTGCAGCCACCATACATGCCTTGGCCAAAGCTTGCTCCGGATTCCTGATACCCTACTGGCTCGGATGCTGGACAACCTCGAAAATGGTCGTCTAAGATTTAGTTGAAGAGTTGATGTTCATCACCGTAACTTATCAACTAAGCAAGATCTACTTTCATTCGCTTAAGCCCCCTCAAAAAAAGTGATCCAGTAGTCATGACTCCCTTCGAACCCTACGAAGGGAATAGAAAACAACATAGTCTTCAACAAAAGGGCATTCTAGGGAACCCGATGTCCGCATCCCCCCGCCCAAAACCCATCTTGCGAACATCGACCCGTCCTCGAACTTCGAGCCGAAGGCTCGCCTCGGAATGGCGGACTGGTGGCGAGTGTCAGGAGTTCCCGGGGGGCGACTTCCTTCCTGTGGATGGGAGCCGAACTCCGTTTTGCACCACCAAGTGAATCCAAAAAAAAAAACATACCGGTGAACATGAGAAACCAGGGTTTCTTAGGTGGTGCGAAATGGATTTCGTCCGTCCACAGTAGGGAAACCCCGTTTGGATGGTTCAAGGCACACCGAAAGGAAATCAGCCTATGCATCCGCTAGTTCTGGACACATCCACATTTGCAAGGAGGTGTATTTCAGGCAGGCCACATCAAGACATCCCGAGATCAGCAATAACATTTGTGGTTGCATACGACTCCTGTGTGCAGGACAAGTTGGTCAGCAAGTGTTTGACCATATCCCAACTCTGAATCTCCCCCGCTTGCAACCTCTGATTCCCATTGTAACCTCGGAAACCGGAGGTCCCGGATTAGCCTCTTGCCCTAGCCGTGAAACCCGACAAAACTGCTCTGGGCATCCCCGCTCGTTGTAAATGTAGCCGCAGTCCGCGCAGATCCACTCCCCCTCCCAATACTGCTTCGCAGAGCCTCGGCTGATTTCAAACCGCCTTGGGCGTGGGGTTGGAGTGTGGGGAGGGTGGGGGAGAGTAGGGCAGTGTGCGGGTGGGGTGGGGTGCCGACTTGGTCCGAATTGAAGGAAGAACTTGAGAGCTCTCTTGGTGGCTGGAAAAAAGGGTTGCCCGGCAGGGCCGCTACGTTCTCTATGGGGCTTCAAACTTAAGCTGCCATCTCGGCGAGACAAAGCTCACCATTGTGTGGATGACATTGCAAGGACAAGGCAAAAGTGCACCATCTTCTGCGGTTTAAAACTAGTGGGGCTTAGTAGGGTGTTTCTCCAAACAATCAAGGATTGCCGCATACATGGGACACCCGCTGTCAAATAACCGGGCGGCCAACAATCCTGGGGCCCCATGAAGCAGCAAGCCTTGGTCTCGTCCTATCATTGGTCTATCAACGCAACATCACGACCAAAGCTAGCTCGTTGCGAGTCAACGCAATGTATCTCCACTCGCCAGATCTTGAGAAGAGCTCGCTTTCTGCGGCAGTACCCATTCATCTCTTCACACGCAACACCCGTCTCGCCCTCTCCCGCCCTCCCTTCCGACTCACCCAAAACTCCCCCAAAACACTCACCACGTCTTCGAGCGGCATGCCACTCGGTCCTTCCTTCTCAGCGCCCCAGCCGCCGCCACGCCGGCCATGCCCGCCAGGGCCATCCCTCCGGCCGCAGAGAAGCCCCCAGCGCCCAGGCCGCTTGCGCCGGCGGTGCCGCTCGAAAGGGCGGCCGGCACCGCGCGCACGCGTGTGGGCGACAGCACGGTGAAGGCCTCGAATCCAGGCCCCAGCGGGTTTGGGATTTCAGCCTGCAAGGGAGATATTCCCATGACTTGATCGCTTGAAACTGGATTCCCTTGGTATGAGAAGCAAAAATGGCGCAACCCAAACAAACAAATGGCTGCTCAAAAAACTGGTACCAAAATGGAACCCTGGTAAGTGGAAATATGGGTACCAAAACCTGCGGTTTGCCCCCCCCCCCCGTGTTTAATTTTGAGCCACACCCAAATGTCCACACCCCGGGTCCAAAAGACTCAGGCGCGCACGCTAGCAATCTAGAGATTCCCCTGGACATAGGTGGGCCATTTTTGGGGCTTCATGTGCCAACCGCTTGTTACTGACCATAAAGTGGTGAGCTTCCTCGACGAAAATCCCCCTTGATCATAGATGACGGTCATGCTGACCGCTTTCAGCATCAAGTGCAGAAAACCTAGATTGGGTGCCCAAAAACAGTCAAGAAGAAACCGTTTTGAGACAACCTGCAACTTTCCGTGCGTGGGATCTGTTAGTGATACTTTTGCATGAGATCCACCGCATGGCTTCTGGCAACCGCCCGACACGTGACGCCTCCCCCCACCCCCCCACCCCAAGAACTGCCGCTGTGTGCTGTTCCAAATGGCGCAGCCCGCCATCAAAAGCAGCGGTGCAAGGCCACGGAACGCCATGGCGAAAAGCGTGGAGACGCCGCTCCAGTGACCGAAACTGGAGCCGAAACGACTCCCATTCGGCCATTCGGCGATGCGGCGAGCAGCCCCAGCTCCAAGAAGATCTGGAAGTGAGGGGCGCTTAATCATGAAACTTATAGCCACCTGCTTGTAACGATCAGTGAGCACATGCCTGAAGCTAGCCCGATGCTTATCCTTAGAGCCTCTTTTTCCCGGTATGGGTTAAGCGAACTAACCGTTTAACCTCAGCTACCCCCAACTAGGAACATGGTTAGGACCGTCTTTCTATGTGGGTCAAACATCTAGGAAGGGCCTGGCTGGTTGTCCAGTGGTTTGAGGGATATGCAGGATCTGTAGGATATGTAGGGTGTTGTATGATTTGTATGATATGTACGATATCTAATATCTATGATATGTTCCATAATTATGAATGATGTGTATGACGTGTATGATATGTATGTGTATGACATGTTTCCTACGTATGCTATGCATGCTATGTAGGCAAGTAGATAAATGCTTGTACAGGTCAATGTAATGTGATGTGTGAGTTGCCACGTTACGTGGTATCGTGCTATGTCATGGTATGACTAATGCGGCATCAGTGCAATATGTGTGTGTGTGTGTGCTTTTGCCACACATCCTCCCTCTAACATAGAGGATGCGATATGTCCCACATGGGAAAAGTTGCCCTTGGTCATTCGGGGGCCGAACGGAATATTGATCCCCCCCAAATCAAAGGTTCAAACCTCAGCAGCGCCCCCAATATGGCGGTGTTTGTTTTGGTGTCCCCTTAAAAATCGCCAAAACAAGCCCCCCCCCCCAAAAAAAAAAAAAAAAAAAACAAAAAAGAAGTTTGCAATTTGGTGTCCCTGTTAAAAACCACCAAACATAAGGGCGCCCCCACCAAAAAAAGTCAGCGCCCGCCCCGCCGCCCAAAAACAAATCCGCCGGCGCCACACCCGGAGCGCCAGCTCGGGGCAAAGCCTTCGCAGCTGCGCGAAAGCGCCCACGCCTCGAGCGAATGGAACTAGTGGAGCGGATTTCCATGGGAAAAAGGGTATCCTTTTTTGCTGGGTTGACTTTTCAGGGGAATCATTCCCCAAAAAAGGAAGAAAGGGGCATTGGGCAACTCAAACCAAAAAGCAATAGTGGTGCAGGATTTCGTCCATCCACCGAAGAAGTCTTTTATCCTCCCATGTTGTTTTTTTGTGGTTGAAATTTAACCAAAGTGGGAAACTCGTCATGAATGGTTTGATTTCCCATTGGAATCCGTGATTAATCCATCGGGTTCGGGTTTCCTTTTGCAAATCCGCGATTTCGAGTTCCCCCTTGAATTCCCCTCACTTCCCTGGGTTTCCCGTTGGAACGAATCCACATGGCTCGGTCAAAATTCTCCAGTCTATGGTCCATTTGGGGGTGCAGTACAATGGGGCCGCTCCAAGTTACAGCAACCAACAAGCTCGCCAGCTGCGTAAGGCTTTTAGGGCGCTTCTGCCCTACCTCGCCAAGCGCCCCGCAGGACAAGCAGGGGTGGTGGGTGACGTGCAGCCGCAGCTCGCCCCGGGCCTGGCTGGGGCCAATTCGCTCCCTTCAGTCTCTGAAGCACTTCAGTTTCCCTCTGAATAGTGATTTGGAGCCCGGTGGTTTGGAAAATAGGAGCCGTTCCTCATTTACCCTCGGCTACAAGAATCAAATCCCCAAACCACCAGTGAAGGGTTGCCTGAGCACTTTTTCCAACCATCGCACGCGTGCCGCAGTGGAAAAAAAGCAGGTACATCAAGGCCCCTCTTCAGAAGCCTCAAACTGGACCATTCACGGAAACCTCCAGCACAAACTCCGGGTAGCAAGCGGCATCATGGTAGATGATGTATTCATCATGAACCTGCAAGGCATCATGACGGCCATCGTGTCTCGTGACACCCTTCATTGCCATAGCCGAATCAAACTCACTAGAAGGGAACAACCGCTGCGGACACTTGTCCTCCAGTACTTGCACACGCCCCAAAACGACACGGCAAAGAAGGACGCATCCTCTGACAGCTCCGTATTGCCACGCTTTGCAGCTCTGAGGGGTGAAGTAGAGTCCCTTGCCATACCACAAATGGCCCTTGGCCAAAGAGAGGCTGGACTTGAGGCCTTGCTGGCAAATGCTGGCCAAATTGCCCTTGTCTGTGCCGTGCAAGAGGTACACAGTGTTGGCCACCCTGGATAGGTCGTTTTTGTCGGCCAACCGCGCAAGCCATGGGTGCATGTCCACGGGATCAAGCTGCTCCTGCCGACGCTTCTCTGCAACTTGTGCTTCATAGGCCTTGAAGCGCTCAAAAACAGGTCTGTTCTCGAGGCGGTGCAGTCTGTGCACCACAAATACAGTGTCATCTTCCATGCTGCAGTCACATGGTATGCTGTGTCTGCCATCAAAGCCTCTGGACTCATTGAGCATCTCCTCTGCCTTTCGGTGATTATACCCGCCTTCTCGATAGTCGCTCATCAGCAAAGGTATGTCCGGAGTGGGAGATGCAAAGTAGGACGGAACCTCCACCACCACCAAGGGCTGTCCATGACCGCCATCTGCCAGGTAGCCCCTATCTGAGATCATACCAAGTCGACGCATCTGCTCAGCGATCGCCTCGCGAGCCTCCGGTTTGATGAAACCAGAGGCACCAACTGACTGCAAGGAAGCAGTGATCCCACCATGTCGCATGCTAGGGACGCCGCCGCCAAAGGCGCGCGATTCCTGGTCTGAACAAAGGGACTCTTTTGAACCCTGATGGAAACGTCAAGCCTGTCGCAAGGCCTGCAACACAAACACAGACAGAGAGAGAGAGAGAGAGACTGTGTGTATGAACCAAACAGCAAAGCAAACTAACATGCCAAGTACAGCCATACAGCTGTCTCAGAATGCTAGCCCCGTTTTTGACCCCTTTTCTTGGTCTGAACAGAACAAGCCAACTACTTGTGAACCGTCCGATTTTCTGACGACAAATCGGAAATTAGAAAAGGCCGTATCCCCTGAAACTTGGCGAGCTTCGATGCCCATTCCCCGGGCGGCCAGCGTTCCGCGCTTGATGCCGGCGGCCGAGTAGCCCAGGTGATGCGCCAGCTCAACGCCCCGCTGCAGGAGCTGATCACAGCTCACGCGGTCCAGGCGCAGGGCGGAAGCGTGCAAGGCGATCACGGTATCCATGGGTCTGATTCAAAGGATTTGGATACAGCACCCTAAATCAGCTGTTCTCCTGTAAATATCCTGTAACCCCACCCTTTGACTGATGGGTTTGCACCTCTTTGCGGGCACTTCCCTTGGATCCTTTGGGGATGGGCAACCTACCTCTGCTCTTTCAGATGGTCCCTCTTGTACCCGTGGCTTTTGAATGAGTCAGATCCAAACGAACCTAACCAGCCACTGCACGCAGAGGGGGCCAGGTCGGGGCCGATTCTCGTTATCGCCCCGGAGAGCTTAAGCCCAAGGCCACTGGCAAGGTTGGATAGGTCGAGACCCAACATTCGCTGCTGTCACACACGGACATTTTCTCAGAATCTGTAGGTAAGACGCGTGGGAATCAATCATGATGCTGAATTGCCGCATGCCAGTCAGGACACCAGTTGTGCCGGGCTGTAAGGCTTGCAGGCATGTGTCCATTGTTTGGCGCAAGCCTTACTCTGTGTGTGTGTGCTCACGAACTCCTGGAGTTTCAGCAAACGTCCCTTCCAAAGGACACATCGCTGAACCCAAACAAAACGCCTTGGCGGAATGCGCTGAAAGGGCGATGAGGGAATGCCAAGCTATGAAGGTCCCCAAGATCCAAGAAGTTGGACTCTAGAGAAAGGGCTCCCGATCCCTTTACTGCCCCCAAAAACTGTAGGCTGCAAAAAAACACGCCCATTGGGGTCAAAATAGGGGGTTTTCCTATAAACCAGGGTGAAAAGGGCGCCCGAATGACTCAACCATCGCCTTCCGCCCCAAAAGCCCCCACCCCTCACTTTGCCTCGCCAGGCTGCATGCCGGCCTCGGAGTGAACCAAGAGATCCGCGTGGTGCGGGCGGAAGCCCCGCCCTATGGAAAAATTGCCATAAGAAAAACCTGCGAATGGGGGGTCAAGGACGCCAAGGATGCATACCTCCAAAAACTGATGCAGCCCATCTCTGTGCCAGAAGTCCCTTTCCTCACAAGGCCCTGCTCGGCCATTGAGGTCGACCGGGAGAAATTGCGAGGCACCGAGGCCAGGCACCGAGGCTTTAGACGCACTGCTGATGCATCCAACATAGCTGCAAGAGTTCATCCCTAGTACCATGATTCAAGCACAATGCGAAGTCAAATCATCTGGGCAAACACGGCGTCAGACCGAGACAAGTATTGGTGTCTATGTGGGTGTGCGCGCGTGTCAATCAAATAGTGCGATACCAGAGCCTGTACTGGCTGCTTCTAGTCTACCCTCGGTTGGCTCTGGGCCGAGCAAAGTCAAGTCATTTAGCACGTCGCATCTGCCGCTCGAAGGGAACAAAGAAGCAGCCACAGTTGTATGAATGTGCGTACAATCATCCAACTATACTTTGGGTTTGTCTCAAAATAGGTCAAGCTGTCTCGTGGGCTTTGGTTCCCCTTTGGTTTCTCCTTGGTTTCCCTTTGGTTTCCCTTTGACACGACCTCAAGAATTACTATGGAGTACTTCACAAGGGCCGGGAAAGGGAACGTTCTCCTTGGTTCTTCATGAAGGTACCGCAACATCCTGCAACAACCCCACAGGGGCAACTAGCCTGTATGCTGATGCTCAGTAGGAAATCAGGGGTGTTGGGGGACCTGGGGCCTGGGTCCCTTCTGGCTTGGAAGGGTTTTTTTCATGTTGTTCATGGGTGTCCTGTTGGTAAACACATAGAGGGTCCTGGTAGATGGAAGAAAACCATTCTAAACCAGTGCCATCTAATAGAGCTTCCATCCAAGCAAACTAACGAACAAAAAAAAAAAAAAAAACTATGATTGTTCTTGTCATTCTCAGGGAATCCCCACAGTCATTCCCTCACAAACCGTGCTGGAAAACAAACAAGCCACTCCTGTGCAACTGCGGGCTGCGGCTCCGGCGGCCTCCAGGCTCTCAAAAAACCACCCCATAGCCAGGAACCTCGGACGGGTGAGACCCTGGTTTGGGACACACCCGGACTCCTCAAGGGCTGGAACACGAACAAATGGCCTCTGGTAGTTTTGAGTATCCGAAATGAAGCCGGTGGAAGTCATCTATGGGAAACATGTCATGTGTCATGTTGCAAACTAAATGCAACTAAACGCAAGTCCCAGCTTCCCTGCGCAGATCGCTGAGACAATCATGTTTGATTTTGCTACAGACCTAGTGATTTGTGAGTTCGCCACTTGCTGGCGCTGCAGTGGCACGCGAAGTCTGTAGTATCGCGAAAGACCCAGGTTCAATTCCCGGCGGCGGAAATGTCACTGCAGCCTAGCAGAAGAACTTCACCGTCGAAGAGCAGCTCTGCTTGAACCAGCAAATTAACGGTGTGGGGTTGGAACCCACGCCCTGACGGAATGGCGCCTTGAGCCACCGCCTTAGACCACTCGGCCACACCGTCCCTCAGAATTGCGCTTGCTGGGTGAGCCCACTTTTAATCGCTTGGGCCCCCAGCCTTGGCCACACAGTCGCTTAGAATTGCGCTTGCTGGCGAGCCCAAGTTTGATCGCTTGCGCGGGGGCCGTCAAGCAGATGACACTCTTGCCGAGCGGGTAAGGCGTCGGCCAGCTGAGCCGATGGGGTCGGTTCGAAATCCCACTGTGTCGACTTCAAAACTGGGCGAAGCGGCTTGCCACGTAAATTCAACGAACATCCCCTAGGCATCTCATGGAAAACCTCTTTTCTGTGTTGGTCCGGTATTACGGAAAACTGCAACCTAAAACCTATGACCTTGACCAAGCCCCCCCCGAAATCCGAGCTTTCCCTCTGGTTCCCGTTCAAACCACGCAGACCACGGGGCACCCCTCGCCTCGAGAAAAGCGACGCACCGCTCCGAACCCGCCGAGGCACTCTGCATGGCCGCTGCGGTCGTGGCGGAGCGGCGCCGCGACCTCACTCTCGCTCGTCGTTTCGGGGTGTCTCGGGGTTTGCCAAAACATGAGTTGGACCACCGTGATTTTGGCAGTGTTTGAAGGAACCCACAAGGAAAGCCGCATGTATTGGCAAAAATAGTTTGGCCGTGGCTTTTCTGAGTCGGTACCCCTTTTTGGGAAGTTGGTTCCTCCCCCTTTTTTGAGGGTACCTCTTGGTGTGGTTTTGGAAGGGAAAACCAAAAGGAAAGCCGAAGCCTCTTTTGGGGTTCCCCTAAAAAGACCCTCCCTTCTACCTTTGGGATTGTTTTAAGGGTTGTTTGGGGTGGTTGTTTCTGCCTTTGGGGTTGGTTTGCAACATATTAATTATAATATATATGTATACATTTATATATATATATATGTGGAATTCGCTTGTAAACAAATTGGAACACTGAAATTAAGCGAACCAGGAAAGATGCCTATGGCTGAGCCTGATTGCATTCGGCCTACACAAAGGCATACCCTTGAGCCCGCACAAAGGGATCCGTTAGCTGCACACATGTCACCGCGGTGAAACATATTGCCACCTAAGTAGGCAATGTCTTGGGGCGATTTGTTCTCTGGATCTTTGGTTTCTGTCACGCTTGGGTACCATACTCAAGGTCCAGCTTCCCGTACAGATTTTCGCAGAGCAACCAAGGGTCTGTAGGGAGACGGAAATTATGCGCGTGGCTGCAACTACGCCTAGGGAAAAGACCGCCTCCACAACCAGTACCGCCCGTACTCATTTCTGAGCACAGCTTGCCCTCTCCCATCCAGGCTTCGGGCGATGGGTAAGCTTGCCTGGCAGGAACTTCGAGCGCTGGATGTGGTTCCATCTCTTCATTGACACGAGATCATGCCAACAGGACAAGGGGCTTTGCCAAAAGGAAGATGTCTTCTGACATCCTCTGATCGTCACCTTCCATGATTGGAGGGATGTGACCAATTGCTTGTCAAATCCAGTAAGACCCATCAAAAGTTCTCTCAACTGCTTGTTTGTCCAACCATATGGGTGTGTCGTTCTTTTGCGGGACCCCCTTTTTGCAGGTTTTGAAAGGAAACCAAAGGCCAATCGCTCAAGCACAAACTGCTAATGAGCAGACCGACAAGCTTGAATGGCAGCGAGGGAATGACCAAGCTGGGGCTTCCATACCCTTCCCTTGTCTCTAGACACCTCCGCAATGTGCCAGGTCCGTTTACAAATACATGTGGTAGGTGATGGCTTGGATAGCACATCTTGGGCTTTGAAATGTTCGTTCCTGTTGAAAGCAGATGGGAAGGCGGTTTTGCTTCGAGTCGGGTGAGCTCAGAACCACGCCCGCCCTTGAACGCTCCTTGTGCCCAGCCTCCACACCCGCGCCCGAAGATGTGGTGGTGAACACCTCCGACTGCTCCCCTGGCCGGGTTGAGCCAATCCCCCACATCAAGCATAAGGATTTGAATGGGGGTTGTTGGGGCTCTTTAAAAAAAAAAAAAAAAAAAAAAAAAACACACAAGTCAGGATCTTAAGAATGTATTTGTGTTCGCCCCTTCTACTGCTTTCCCCACCCCGCGGTTTTGAAATTCAAGGGCCAAGCCGGCTGAAAAAAGCGCCTCTGAAACAGTTGGACTTGACTCGGCCGTGACAAAGCCCACAGGATGTCACTTCCAGAAGGAAGCCCATCCTACACTCCAGGAGACAAGCACCTGTGCAGCCTTGCAGCTCATGATCTCCATGGGTCAAAGCTGCAACGATCCAAAACGGTTGTCCCTTCAGCTTGGGTGTTGTACGCCAACCCTGATATTAGTCTAGGTATCCACGTTGCGTTGAATGTCAGTTTAGCCGCATCTTCACTGCCCTCCGAAATCCTCGATCAGTGAATCAGTATGCTGCCCACAACGACAGCCCGTTGGCACCCTCCCATCTACGGGAAACCTGCAAGTCTCCCTATTCGAGACAGACTCAAAAAGTCGAACTGAAGCTTTCTGTTGCGGGGGGTTATATTCATGTTCAACGCATGTTCAAAACGCTCATCTCACATTGGGATTGCTCAAGAAGCACCCGGACCATCGATGTCGCAGAGAGCAACGCCTCGAATTCGCGCGACCTCGACTTCGCGCCTCGAGCCTCCAAGGTGAAGCTGGCCACACAGCGGATGCCTCCCGAGTTCAAAGCGATCTCGTCTGACTTCGGACCGGCGGACTCCGAAGGACTCCGAAGGCAAAAACCAAGCGGAGACCGAACGGTTTCCGGGGCCCTCACGTGAGTCATAATCAAAACCGATCGGTACAAAAATGGTGAACCCAGAAATGTAAGGAAATGAAAAGGCGGCCGCAACTATTTCCGGCTGGGACTGCCCCTTACTAACCTTCATCTACCCGGGTTTTGATTGTGACTCACGTCATTTGGGGTCCACATCTCGCTGCAAATGATGTTGAGGACGAGCCCACAAGGTGGGAGTGTCTCACGATTCGGGGACCCCCCCGCCCGGCCAAAAAGGGTGGTTGTCTTTTGGTGTCGCTTTCAAACCATCCGCAAAGGGGTCCCCTAAAAAAAGCAAAAAATAGAAAGCGGAAAAAAATATTTTTTATTTTTTTTTTAAAAAAAAAAAAATGCTGATTCTTGCAATCATGGCTAAGTACCCCCCAACCCTATTCTCACTCACCGTTTAGGCCCTAGTATCTCAAACCCCCACCAAGCCTTCGGAGCCCTGTCACCCCGGCGCCTGCGCCCCCTGCCAACTCCAGTTGCCTGAGGCGCAGAAGAGGCACGTGTCACATACATGAGAGACTTCGGTTGTCTTTTTGGAGGAAACAAGCGGGTCACTTGGCCCACGCAAGCCATCCACTTATACATCCCTGCTTTGGGTGCCATGGAAGATCACCTTACCCTTGGCCAACATCAAGGGTTCTCCAAAATCAATAATTGATGATTCTGAGTCATACGTAGCCTACCCGAAAAAATGGAGGAGACCCCAGTACCCTCTATATATATCGTTCCGCTGATAAAAAAAAAATAATCCGCCATCCCCACAGGCCGCGAGCGCCCGCCCACGCCTCCGCGCAAAGGCGACAAAGGTCTCTGATGCCTGCGGGTCGGATGCAACTTGGGGGATCCGCCGCTGTTGGGTCAGCCCCTCGTTCAAACGTGCTTCAGGCTCGAACATCTCCAAAGGTTTGAAACAATCAATCCTTCAAAGAGTTCCACTCTGACCTGGTTCCCCTTGCAAAGCACCCAGACCCAAAACCAGGTACTTGACCCAGCAGCTCAGTCCCATGCTGAAAAACCTACCCTTCCGGCCTCCTCCACGCCCAGCCGAGCCAACAGCTGTCCGGAGTAGAAGGGCCCCGCGTGGAAGCAGCCACTGGCCTCCAGGCGCGCCAGGTACCTCCGCGGGGGAGACATCCATCCGACGGAGACATGGCTGTTGCCCGATCGGTCAATGGAAACATGGACTAAAAGAGGCGGTCCAATTCCTGGTGGTTTAATGTTGACCCATACCATGGAAGCGCAGAAGCCTCTCCGGTTAGTAGAGATGGGTGTCCTACTGCGGATGGTTGCAAAATCCATTTTGTATCTCCCAAGGAACCCTGGAATGATTTTCTGATGAACTTCCTGTAAATGCCAACAAACAATGGTTCAAAACCATGATTTCAAAGTGGTGCAGGATTTCGTGCACCCACTGTATTCTTAGGGGAGCCCCAAAATGGTGGTTCTCTTTTGAAGGAAGATCGTCTTCCAAGAGGGGTGGGGCACCCCCAACAGGGCTTCAGTTTCAAATGTTTTCTTGTTGGTTTCCCTTTCCAGGAGCAAAGTCATCTTCCAAGAGGAATCTGCGCGCTTCCACGTCTGTTGGTGGGTAAGACAAATGTTGCGCACAGCGGATGCGCAGGCATTAAAGTTTCATGTCCCGCCTTTGGGTTGGACGAATGTTGAGAGTTCTTGGACCCGGCTCCTGTGCAAGCTTTTCCTGACTTTAGCATGTGGCTGTTGAAATCCAAGACTCTGCCAGACAGCCTGACTGGTCTGATTAGGAAGCCTCCGGCGTTTGATCCCAACTGAAAAATATATTTGTTGTTTTCGGACCATTGTTGGTTGGTTTCAAGATACGGGAACCTATAAAATGTGTGATTTTCCTCCGGCTTCCTTTCACAACAATCTCAAAACAGAGGGACCTGCTTTAACAAAGTCACACCATCTCGCGAACCTCGAAATGAGCAACAATATCAAAACAAGCGCTGCCCGCCCCCACAGAGACACTTCGGGCCTATGTTGCAACCACCTTCTATTGAAAATTGTAGGTAGGTTTATTGGCTCTAAATGGGTTTGTCTCAAACTTGGGTTGGCCCCCGATACAAACGCCATTTGTCCTTTGGTTTCCCTTGAAAACCACTAAATAATGCATACCCATGGTACCCTCAAAACGAAGCACACCCAAATGGCCATCCCCAGCCCTTCAGAGCACCTCTCGGCATCCGGCACTTCCGTGGCCAACAGCTCCGCCAACGCCTCCAGCTCCGCCTCCCAGCCTTCGGCCCGACGACCAACGCAGCCCACCAAAACAGAACATGAAGCAGAGAACCAAAGAACCAAAACAGCGAAAAACATTCGGCCCGGTCCTCCGCAGCCACCCCCCCCCCCAAAAAAAAAAAAAAAAGGATAAACCGAAGAACAAAAAAAAAAAAACTTCCCGCAAGAAGTGTGAAGTACTTGGATGCTCAAGCCACTCAAGAAGTAGGTTATAACTAACCGCAACTAATCACTTATAACCGCGGTCATAATCCTACTTGCCACATGAGTTGAACAATCCAAGTAGTTGTCCTTATGGAAAACGTGCTTTTGCTTGGGGAACTAACTTGGAACCCGAATCCATCTATGCTCAACCAAAACAACCCTGAAACGACACCTGTGCCGTATCGCGTACCACTGGTCGCCTTGCAATTGTACTTCTACCACCTGGCATTTATATGTGCTTCGCCGCCGCTGGATGGGAATGTATGATATGTTGTCGCAAGGAAAAGAAAAGCCATGGCATGCTCTGGGTGATTTGTTGAGCTGCATCTCACTGGAGAGTGAACTGAATCCGGCCTGTGCCACTGCCAAAAACCTGGTCTCCCTGGGTATATCTTGATTTGCCATCATGTCCACAATGAGCCCATCCAAGTTCTTGGTGTCCAGACACCTGCGCTGTGTGGTTGGCTCTGGTTTGCTTTAGCTGAGCTATGAGTATTGCCTGACTTCCCCCTCGCCTGAGTGCAGCCCAGGGGCGAGACTCCACCAACCGCCGCAAATCCCCAGGAAGCTGATCTCGCGCCTGGACACAAAGGTTTAAAGGAAGACAGCCGACAGCGGCGCGCGAAACAAGCCCCGGAAGTCGCTTTCAATTCGCTCAATTGCCTCTTAAGACTTCAACAAGTACTACTTTTCAAGGGATAGCCCCAACAGCATCGAATCCCCCGAAACTTCCATAGAACTTGAAACATACCGGGAGCCTGCCCGGCAACCTCCCCGACCAAAGCAACTCCTCAGGGCAAAAATGGAGAATAGGGGTGGCAAATCGTCAGCCACTCCACCTTGCTGCACTGCTTCGAAGACGAAATCACTTTGGAAACACTGGTCGACACACCACGGAGCAAAATGCTGCCGTTTTTGTGAAAGTGATGGGAAGAGGTTAACCGGAAATTTTGGACCAAACATTTCATCCGGGATACTTAAATCAATCGGCAGGCTCCTCGCAGGATTAGCATGGTCTCTGCGTGCCAAGAGTCATCAATCGAGTTCCCTCCATTTTGGGGCTATACCCTTCTAACAGCAGACTAGACAGACCTAGATGAGGACATTCGCTTTGGAAATCCCAATGTGAATGAACCCCATCAAGAAGTCCCCAATTCAAGAGTCATTCTGACATGGAGCCAGCATTCACTGCCTCACGCTCCGTCTGCCCGCGCCTTGAAAAGCGCGTTCGCCAGCAGGCAGTGCGTGTGACCGCCCCATTGGCCCATCCGGACCACGGGCGCATGGGCGAGGGCCACCAAGTGACCTCAGCTGAAGACGCTCTTCCCCTGCAGGATGGGCAGGACAATTCATACAGCACCAAGTTGGTGGACCCATCCCCATGGCTGGTTCATGTCGAGTTCCCTTCTAATCCAATCCCAAAAAGGGAGCGCCAGATTTGAAACAAATTCCCTAACACCTTCCCGGCGCCAAAGACAAGTTTCCAAGGGAACTCCTTGTCTCCTTGGAATCCAGGTCGGCTTACAACCACTGTGGCCAATCCTCAAGGGATGCAGTCCGTGGAGAACTCATTGCATCAGTTTAAGCAGAAACCATCTCTTGAGCCTGCAAACTCCTTGCAGAACAGTACACACGTAACACGCGCCTTATGAGCCCAAGTTGTCCATTTGCCTTCGAGGGGCTGCGCTGCTCCGACTCCTGATCTGCGTCCACCGGGCAGGAGGCGACGCTCCACAAGACCCGCGCGAGCCTCGGGCGGACACTGGGAGGGGTACAGGTGGGTCAGATAATCTATGAGTGAGATAGGTTAGGTGTTTTTCTTCCTGCCCGCCAGCGGAAGGCTTGAATGGAAGGGTTTGCTTACCATGTCAGGATGTTTTTCGAAGAACAGTGCCACTGGCGGGTAAGATGGGAAACTCTGACCTGCAAGCAAGAATGTCAGGCATTTGGAAATCAGGCATCCAAAAGGCAGGCAATTTGCCAAAAGCAAAATGCTGAGAAGGTACAAAGCCCCGCCCCTCACCGGCTCAACATGTCCGTCCCAGCTGCGTGAACTCCGTGAACTCCGAAAGCATCTGGCCTCCGGATTGGCTCTCACATCCAAGCCCCCGCTCAGGATGGTTCCAACAATCTCCGTATCCCTCACCCAAGGGCAAACAACAACTCCAGGCACTGCAAGAAAACCAACAAACGCCCATTCTCATCTACTATCATGGCTTTGCCAGCAATAGGACATGAAATGTCTGCCATTCTAAACTACACTGCGGTTCACCTTGGAAAACAGCAAAAGGACACCTAGAATTGAAAACCCCTGTTTGTGAATAAAGCAATTAAATCACCGCTCAAGCATTGGGGCTGAAACAGCATCAACAGCTACGGAGGCTCAGACCCTGACCAAATCCAAGGAGTACATGGACTCATCCTGCATCCAAGGGAACCTGTGCGCCGGCCATGGCCCGCCAAGCCTGCGGCATCGGCTGACGCGGCAGGAAGCGGCCAGCCTCACTGCCAAAACCAGCCACAAGAACGACGGCAAGGACTCAAGGTCCATTTATCGCTGCCTGAAAACTGACCAACGGAAACCAATGGCCACAACACTGAAAAGAAACAAGCAGCATCAACACTGAAAAGAGTCCGAAGCTCTAAGACATTTGCCATTGTTGTTCCACTTGAAGCGCGCTGGGGAATGTTGGTTTCTTGTGCATTCCACGTATTCAGTATCCACTCGCCGGCAGTCTTTTGCATCAGCAGCTCATCGGCTACCAACGACCAATCCAGAACCACGTCCCGCCACTCCTCGCCGGGCAAAAGTTGGCTAGATGCAAACCTAAAAAGCCAGTTTTGTGCGCTGTCCGAGCGTCCATGACAAACGCGTGAAACTGAAGAAACGTGCACGCCGGTGTGTGAAGCCGCTGCTGTGAGAGACTCGAAGTGGAGCCAGTCGCGATCACTGTCAATTTTGCAGGCAAGTACTGGCTTCCTGCTGTTTGGCCGTTCTTGCTTACGATCGCCCATTCTTGCATATGCATGCTGCATGTTCTGCGCTGGTGTCACATACTCCAAGTTGTTCACATTGTTGTTTCGTGGATTGCCATCTAGGTGGTTGACCTGAAGCTCTGATGAGCGAGGTTGCCCAAAGAAGGTAGCAGCCACCAAACGGTGAACGCAAAGCATCCTTTGCCGTCTCCATCTGTTGAAACACAACACAAAGTATCCCGATTTGTGGAGCGTCCCATATGTGATACGCCCATGAAATGTTTGAACTCGGCCATGGCTGCTCACCATCCAGTTCAAGATGGCCTCGGTCATGCCAGGATAGCTGGCTGCTTTCCACACCTCTCCTGAGTATACATCATCTTCAACATACTCAAATTCATACCCACCAGTTGACTGCGCATGCCCTCTGCAACATCTGCTCACCTTCCGAGGGCTCATTCCCAGCACGTCAGCAGCTTCCGCCACTGAAGAAGCCATTGACCATCGCTCCGTGCCAACAGCCCGATATCGAACAGGTCTTGCTGGCCTCTTGCGCGTTTGCTTGCCAGCGGCAAAAGCATGCCTTGCATTTTCCGATGGCGTGACGTACTCAAGGTTGTTAACGGCATTGTTTGCTCTGTCACCGTCCATATGATTTACTTGTGTATGCGCGGCGGTGGGGGGAGGTCCATGGAAGGCCCTCGCTACCAAGCGATGCACAGCAAAGCTAGTATTCTCGATGCCAACCTGCCTGTAGCCATCAGGCCGTGCAGTCCCATAGTGAGTGACGCCTCTTAGATTCTTGACCCGGCCAAAGGAACTGACTTCCCACTTCCCGGCACGCGCGTCTGCCTGAAACCTGATCTGACAGCTCCACCAGGAAGAAGGAGCTCGCAAAACAGCAATGGGCTGAAGTTGCCCCCATGACAAACGATGCCAGGCTCGCATATTGAGAGGACTTTGAAACGTGCGCCTGTGGTATCGGAAAGCTGAGCATGAGAAGTGCCTGTTCGGGAAACAAGGACTGACCAACCGCAGAGTCAGCAATCCCTGCGAGCAAGCGCAACAAACATCCGATGCTCAATGCACAACGTCCTCCCAAGAAAGGCCTCTTTCCAGCGGTACATGCCGCTTTGAAAAGAGCATCTTGTGGGCTCCACCCAAAGCCCCTTCATGCCAACTTAAGAGTGACAAGGCAATAAATGGGCAGCCAAAAAATATGTGGATTCAGAGAAAGGCATCTATGAATGAAAGATCGCAGCGCCTTGTCCAATTTCATCGAGCATGCCTTTGTCTTCCAAGCACGACAGATTGTTTTGTTCTTTTTTGTGGCTTGTTCTGACATCAAGTTGAACACTGTTCAGCTACCTCCTCCAATGGGTAATAAGCCCCAAGGTCCTTTTCAGGACCCCACCAGGGTTGTGCAAATGTCCCATTGTGATATTACTTGTACACCTTCTCAATACTAATCCTTTGCTACAAGCGGAATAATGGTTCTGAGACATCGCACAAGTGGGAAACATCCTGGCCCCTGGATGCACATCTTACAATGCTTCCCTCAAAATATGGGATCCTTAAGGTCAGCTCCTTGTTTACCTTCAGCTCGCCACAAAATGGGCAGCCTCACACTCGAGGCCCGCGCCGCTGCGGCTGGCAGCGCAAGAGGCCCGCGCTGCCATGGCCGGGCTCTGGGGCTCATACGTCGCCGCCCTGAGACGTGAGCATAGGCCACATGGGACCCCCCCCAACTCTTCGAGCACGCCACCAACCCCCAAGCGCACTTTCCTTTTGGGTGCGGGGAGGTGTTTGATTTTGGCAGGGTAAGGTGTGTGGGATGTGTCCCCCACAAGGCAAGGGAGGTGGGACATAAGCCTCGCCCCCCCCCCCACGCACCTGGCGGGGCCCTTCGGCGCTCCAAAGGCCGGCGCGCGCACGGGTGCCGCGGTGCCGAAGCGCCGCGCGGCGCTGGCGGTGTCCCGGCCTCGCCATGGAGTGACTCGTCCTTGTGGCCCTTTCATCCTTCTGTGTGGTCCAATCCTTTGACTCTCTGGTTATTGCGGGTCACTCTGAGGCCCGACCCAACAAGCATTCCACAGCAAATGAGCTTCAGGAACATCCAATATGTGACATAGTTTGGCCAAGATCATCTTGATGATTATGGTCGTGTCATATCCATTCACTGCACGACTCATGGTCCTAGGAAGTGGTGCAGCAGCAACAAAACCCTGGCTCGTGAAAAGCAGGTGCGCTGCTCATAGAGCAGGGAACTAGTCTGACAGGACGCAAACAAAAGCGTAGTGCGATATCTCGCTGGAAAAGCATGTATAAGTCGACCTTTCGGCGAGTGGGTCGTGCTTCTTGCATTTGTTGATACAAAATGTGTGAAAATGGGCCATACCGCTCGCTGTTAGCAAGGAGTTCGAGAGATTATGTCTTCTTATAAGAAGCCCCGGCCGCGTTTCTTGTGACGCTCTGGCCCTTTGAGGGAAACCTCGGCTTCCACGAAACTTCCCGAGAGGCAAAGGCCCCATCATTTGACAACGCAACTCAAGCCTTTACCTCCAACAGCGGGGGCACTCACCCACCCACCCCAACCTCAAACCCGCCACCCCTGTCCCCACCCCACCAACCCCCACCCCACCTGCGGACCTTGCGCCGGCACCACCTACCACAGCGCCCGCCGGCGCCGCAAAGGGCGGCACGCCTGCGGCCGCCAGCCGGGCGAGCTGCCGCGTGAAGTTGGTCCTAGCAAGCGCCCACCGTGCCCGGAGCTTCACCGCAAGGCGTTTAAATGACTGGACTTGGCTTCTAGGGCGCCATGGAACCAAATTGTGCCGTGATCATAGGGCAATAAAGTGTATATATGGTCCCGGGCTCCGGGTTCGCAGTCCCCCCCAATGGTATCCCCCCAAAACCCGACACCCGGAAGAAGCCCTGCTGCTGCAATCCCCAGACCCCAGCCTTTTCACCCCCTGAACCCACACCTAGGCACGCCCTGCCCCTGCGCCCAAACTAACCCTAAACGAAGCCTAAAGGAATCCTAAACCAACCCTAAACTAGCTCGAAACACACATCTTTAAACCCACACTTGACATGTTCTGAACACACTCTAAGCCAAGCCTGAACCAACTTAATCAACCCTAAACCAACCGTAAACCAACCTTAGATTAAGCCAACCGCTAAGCACATATCTTAAACCAACACTAAACACACTCTAAACCACCCCGAGACCAACCTAAACCACTACAACTAGATCAACCCTAAACCAAGTCTAAACCACTACAACCCAGCCACAGAGGGGGGAGGGGTGGTCTTAGACCAACCATAAGCCACACCCCAACCACATCGCGGGGGGGGGGGGGGGACTGGGAACCATGGGGGGGGGGGGGGCACTTGCGACCCCTTCCATATGTATTAATATATATATATATATATTTATATATATATATGTATACATAAACTGTATGGTCATGTAGCCGCTTATTACCCAAAGAAGCAGCACAGCCAATGCCTGCTTGCCGCTTCTAGCTTCTGGGCGCAAGCAGATTGCCCTGGTCCAATCCAAAGACAGACTCTTCCAAGGCAGCCGAGTTTGAGCTCGCCCCCACTCCGGGGCCGTGGCGGGTCCAGCGCATTCACGCGCCCTCCGACACACAACAGGCGGAACATCGAGCGAGAGAGGCGCGAAACTGGTCAAGGTCACTGGCGGTTGCCTGGCCATTTTGGGTGGCTTGGTGATTTAGCGGCTCACGTTTGCAAGGAATACAAGTGCGAAGCCCATCTGCACTGTTCACATCAAAACAGCCACACAAATCATCCAACAAAAATGCTGCGTGCCCCTCGGCCTCGAAAGTTAAAGCTCTACCTTTGTGAAGGCTTTGATTCGAACATACCATTTTAATTTTAATGCGAGAAGACTGCTGTTTGATTCCATCAATGCAAATCCCTTCAAGCCTTCTTCCACTGGATATCACTAGCTTGCAGGCTTGCACAAGAACTGGTGAAGGAAGCACGCTGCAGGGTGTTCCCAAATGCTTTCTTGTCAAATTCTGTTCAGGCGGCCAAAAACGGACCAACAACACCTAAACCAGCACACCTCAGCCCCACCTTCCCCGTGCTCGCCTCCACCCTCTCCCTCATGCGCACATTCTGAGCAAGCGACTATTCCTACAACGGAAATAAGGGAACCTTAACGGACCTTCATCATGGAGCTCGTTTTCCCCGCACTCACCACAACTGGCGGCACCTCCCACGCAGAAGCCCCCCAGCCCCCACCGTCGCCTGCGTCCGCCTCGCGCCGCGCGGCGCCCGCAGCCGCGCCGAGCGGCGCCGCCTGGAGCGGCTCCGTGGTGGCATGGCCTGCGGAAGCCGAGGCGAGCGGGTGGCAACGGCTCCCTCTCGTTTCCCTAAGCAACTCAAAGGGGGAGTCCCTCAAAAAGGGCAAGCCCATAGTATCTTTGGAGCTATTCTAGGACTCGAAAAACAAAGACATACCATGTCTTTGGAGCTATTCTGGGTGGGGTTCCGTTTTGATGACGACCAGGGTAGACTTGAACCCAAAAATCGACCTTTTGGGGACAATCGACCAGCGCTGGGTTTAAGTTGGACGTCTTCCTGTGTCTGGTTTGGGTTTACAAAGTGTTAATTCACATGAATGCCTTTTCTAGAGTTGGGAAGCCCCTATTGTGGTTGTTCAAAGGGTGGGACTTGCTGTGGCTTCCGAACAAACAGGCTGCATCTCACCACTTCAGCTGCGTGTTTCCTGCAACAGCCAGGGAAATCCTTCAAGCACGCTTGTCAAATTTGGTCTGCGTGCCCTCTGGACTGCACGCTCACCATTCCGCCGCCGGACCACATTTTAGAAAGCCGACTTCACCTTGAAAGCAGTCCGTTGCGCAGCTAGCTCCTGGTCATGAAAAACTGGCGATCCCACCAATTTCCGTCACCCGAAATCCTTCGGCCAAAAAAACAAAACGCGCCTCGCGCGACGTTGGACGGCTCCTTGGCGCCGAGCTCGGGCAATTTCCGCTGCACCTCCTCGCCGGCCGCGTCCGCCGTGCGCCTCAGCCCAACCGCCCCGCCCCAACCAACCCAACGCCGCCTCAGTCGTCCTTCGCATCTCTTCGGCCCAGGGCACTCCTTGGCCGGCGCCGAAGCCGCCGTGGGCCACGCGATGCTGGCCAACTCCACGGCTCCGTGTCGCCCCACGTCCTGCGGAACTGCAGACCCAATGAGTCCAGCTGGAAGGCTTTTCCCACGGAGGCAACGAGCAAAAATGGTGAGTCAAGTCTGGCAAGGTGGTTAAGTCGACTAAGGTATTCCCCAAAAAGTCCCAGGGTTCCCCCCTGGTTGTCCCATGGCTTCCCCCTGGCTCTGCCACGGTTTCCCGCCGCTTGCTCGCGACTCGCGCCCGCCTGCTTTGCCAGCATCTCGGCCAGCTCAGCGCTCGCCGCCTGCGGTTTCCCGAGGCCACGCAACGCGGCGGCAGAGTCCTGCCGCAACGGGCGGTTCTGATCAGAACCATGGTTTTCAACTGGGTAGAAACCAGCGAACATGGAAACTCTATAGGAACTTGGCTCAGGTCCCAGCAGAAAAAAGGATTCCTGGTGTCTTAGACGGGGGGAACTGGGGTTGGTCCCACTAGAATCATGATCAGGACCCACTCAGTAAGTGGGGTAAATCGGTACATATGCTATCATCACTTTATTTGTCACCGCCAAGGTGAGCGAAGACACATGCTGGGATTCGTTTGGTCAGAATGCAGTGTATGTGACCCGCGACTGAGCTGCTGTCGGCTAAGCCGGTTGTAAGTGAATCGTGGGTGGGTTTGGAATCGGCTTGTGCTGGCCTACCAACCATTCACTGCACCACCACTACACCCATCCACCCTCAACCCCCAAAGTCTCCTGTATTTTATATTCCGAAAAGCTTTCCGCACCGCTCCGCCCAAAAAAGCACCACCGCCACTTGGGTGGTCAATCCGCAGCTGTGACAGCACTCAAAAGAATCCTTTTGCCACCTTCCTGGTGGTGCCATACTTGTTTGTTCAAGGTTCGTCTTAAAAAGCAGCCCTTCCTCGAGGCGTCCACTTGGAGAGAAGAATAACACTGAGAAAGGACTGGGACCATCCTGAAACCAGGGCCATCTATTTCAGTCACTGGTCTAAAAGGGCCCCTAACCCTACTTACGAAGTGGGTTGAATCCCCAAGCTCAGCGCTTCCAAGTTGGTGGGGTTCCTTTCAAACCAAAGGAGCCTGGATTGTTTCTCATTTTCCCTTTGAAACAGGGCCGCCTCAAAAAAGAGAGAGACCCAAATGGACCCTGCAAACCGGCTCGAAGCAAGCCATCCCCCCAACCAGACCCAACCGCCATTCCCCCAACACTAACAATCAGCAAGCGCGCTCCTGTGAAAACTGGCCCTCTAGCCCAACCGGAACTGCCCAAGAGAACCCCCCCCCACTTGTCTCCCTCCTGCGGCTTCACCTTCAGCCCAGCCATCTGCGCCGCCGGCGCCTCCGGCGCCGCCAAATTCGGCGCTTGGCGCTCTGCGGGCGCCCGCGCCGCGTTGGCGGCGCACTGGGCCCGGAGCTCCCCGTGGGCCTCGGGACACACCGCGGACGGCAGTGGTGGGTTGGGACGGCGCCTGGGCTGGGGATGGGGCGCGGGCTTCTGGAAATAT